ACAACAAAAAAACTCCTTATTAAAACAATCCAGTTCACCAATGTGTTGATTGCTACTTTTAAATTCCACCGCTTAAATAGGCAACTACATTACTGCTACATAGTAAGAGATACTTCAACATCGGCCCAACCCTAGCGACCGTCCCCTCTCAATGCCCCTCCACTTGTAATCCTTTCAATCGAGAATGCCAACATCCCATGTACCGTATATGTCTAGACCAGGCGGTCTCCAAACTACGGCCCGCGAGGCCCTCTAATGCGGCCCGCGGGGACCTTTCCGTCTACGGAAAAAGATACGGAATTTAACGTGGATCCTGCCAAGATAAGCCACCGCTTTCGTGCACGCTATGTTTTTACTGAATTGAAATAGAGGCGCGTTCATGAGTGCCGTATCAATGTGTTATTAAATAATAACTGAATAAAATATTATTAAATAAATAATTCAAAACAACATTCATGTTTTGATGTCTTATTTATTTGGACCTCGAGTATTTAGTCGGCCCCCGAACTGCTCTTTGATAGTTATTTGGCCCTCGGGCTTAAACTTAAAAGTTTGGAGACCCCTGGTCTAGACAAACGAGGTATTTTTTTCTTAAAGCTACAGCTGAGTTTCTTAATCTTTTTTCAGCGCTGCACCCCATCTTCATTTCAAAATATTCCCCGCACCCCATCTCCATTAAACAAAAAAAAAGTTTTCGCACCCTCCGAGATATATATATATATATATATATAAATTAAAATATGCCGATAGAACTGATTTTCTGGGCCTTTGCGCACCCCCACGGCGTGTGAGCGCCCCTGGCTAAGAGCCCCCGCCCCTGGCTAAGAGCCCCCGCTTCATAGTGATTCACAGTAAGCGTAAGATGAAAGCACTTAACTTCAAACTGCTATTAAATGCATGTGGCAGGTAAATCACATCGTCTCGCCCGGCTAAATGTGCCAACGCTGCAGTAACGAGTCCATCTCCGGCCATTCACCTCCGCTAAAAGTTGAACCACATTAACTGGCCCCATCAAAGGTTATGTTATCTAAAATATCACTCCTACTTTCAGTGAAGTCGGCCACATCCACTTTTTTTATTTTAAACTATACCGGTATGCAAATAACCGAAGCTTTGGTCTAATATCTATTGTGTACGGACATTTTGGAACTCGTACATTGCAGTGCACACGTTAGCCCACTAGGTTGACACTCGTACATTGCAGTGCACACGTTAGCCCACTAGATTGACACTCGTACATTGCAGTGCACACGTTAGCCCACTAGATTGACACTCGTACATTGCAGTGCACACGTTAGCCCACTAGGTTGATGCCAGAAAGAGTACAAACATTAAGGAATATTATTATTTCGTTAAAAACAAATACGACTTATTTCAAAGTAAAATTATAAATTGTCCTATAATTTTCTTCCCGTTACAACTCTATCTTGTAACCACTTCGGTTTTGAAACAACTCTACCATGTAAGCACTTCGGTTTTGAAACAACTCTACCATATAACCACTTCGGTTTTGAAACAACTCTACCATGCAACCACTTCGGTTTTGAAACAACTCTACCATGCAACCACTTCGGTTTTGAAACAACTCTACCATGCAACCACTTCGGTTTTGAAACAACTCTAAAGACGTTTATTTTTAGCAACACCTTCCAAGAGGCGCGCAGGTTCAATGATAAGCCGTTAAAATAGAACCGACAGAAGCCATCAAACAAAGGGTGAGCCCTAGTCCCATGTGATCCCAACAGACCGGCCATAACTCATCCAACAGGTAAACTAGGATGTACACCCCCTGGGCTAGCCACAACAACGGCACGTGTACAGCAGCCGGGAGAAAGCGGGCACACAATCGCTACCAATAAAGGCGTAGCTCATCTATGTGTTCCAACATGCTACACGAGATGATGCGCCCACCCCACCCCGTCCCTGCAGGATGAGCACGCACGGGCTTTTAATGACCAACGCACGCCTTTCACCGTGTTTTTGCTACGAACTTACACTTTAATTTAAAAAAATGAAATTAAAAAAAAAACAACTTTAGTCAAGGGATTTGAAACTGGTCAATTTAATTTCAGATTTTGAAATATTCATGCTAATTTTCAAAAGGTTTAAGTTATCCTGAAGGTCAGAGCGTTTAAATAAATGAAGAGTTCAGTTAACTTGAGGAACCCGGTGTTTACTGAAGAATTACATGGCATTGGTAGATCTCATGGCATTGGTAGATCTCATGGCATTGGTAGATCTCATGGCATTGGTAGATCTCATATCAACTAATGCGCAGAATACCCCCCCCCCCCCCCCCCCCCCC